ATCTCTAAAAGCCAAAGCGATCTTGAGAAAGAACAAAGAAGGAGGCATCATGCTCCCTGATTTCAAACTGTATTACAAAGCTATCATAATCAAAACAGTACTTTATTGGCATAAAAAACAAACAGAAAAATCAATGAAACGAAATAGCCCAGAAATAAACCCACAATTAATATAGTCATTTAATTTATGACAAAGGAGGCAAGAATACACAATATGGAAAGGACAGTCTCTTCAATAAATGGTGTTGGGAACACTGTACAGCCACATGCAAAAGAATCAAACTAGACCACTATCTTACACCATAGATAAAAATCAACTCAAAATGGATTCAAAACTTGAATGTAAGACCTGAAATCATAAACCCCTGGAAGGAAAACTGGGCAGTAAGATACTTGACATTGGTCTTGGTGATGATTTTTTGGATCTGACTCCAAAAACAAAAGTAAACAAGTGAGATCAACCTGAAATCAACTTCTGCATAGCAAAGGAAATCATCAACAAAATGAAAAGGCCATGCATTGAATGTTAGAACAATATGATTTACAAATGATATATCTAATCAGGGATTAATATTCAAAATATATACAGAACTACAATACAACAGCCAAAAACAAAAACAAAAAAACAAAAAACAAAGCAATCTGATTTTAAAATTGGCAGAAGATCTGAATAGACATTTTTCCAAAGGAGACATTCAGGTGGCCAATAGATGCATGAAAAAATGTTCAATATGACCAATCATCAGGGAAATGGAAATCAAAACCACAAAGATGTGTTACCTCATACCTTTTAGAATGACTTTTATCAAAAAAAAAAAAAGTGTTGGTGAGGATATCAAGAAAAGGGAATCCTTGTGCACAGTTGGTAGGGATATGAATTGGTGCATCCACTATGGAAAACTCTATGGAAGGTCCTGAAAAAATGAAAAATAGAAGTATCATATGATCCAGCAATCCTACTTCTGGGTATTTATCTGAAGAAAATGAAAACATTACCTCAAAAAATATATATATGCACCCCCTGTTTATTGCAGCATTATTTACAATAGCCAAGATATGGAAACAACCTAAGTGTCCTGGATGGATGGATGGATGGATGGATGGATGGATGGATGGATGGATGGATGGAGAAGTTGTGGTAGGTATACAAACACACACACACAATGGAGTACTACTCAGCCACATAAAAGAATGGATTCTTGCCATTTGCAACAACATGGGTAGTTCTTGAGGGCACTAAGCTAAGTAAAATAAGTCAGGCACAGAAAGACAAATGCCATATGCTCTGACTTTCATACGGAATGTGAAAACAAAACAAACAATAGCAATAACAAAAACCAAACTCAGAGATTCACGGAACAGATTGGTGGTTGTCAGAGCTTGAGGAGCAGTGGGGGGTGGGCAAAAGGGGTGAAGGGGGTCAAAAAGTACAAACTTACAGTCATAAAATAAGTCATGAGGGTATAATGTACAGCACGGTGACTATAGTTAATAATACTGTATTGCATATTTGAAAGTTGCTAAGTCAGTTAATCTTAGATGGTCTCATCACAAGGGAATAAAAAAAGAACTTTGTAATTATGTATTATGATAGATGATAACTAGGCTTCTTGTGATTATATTTGCATTTGTGTATACAAATATTGAATCATTATGTTGTACATCTGAAACTATTATATGTCAAATATAAAAATAAAGGACAGAAAGAGTATAAAATAAATGTTAGAGCAGAACTGACTATCCTAAGAAGAAAAAAAAGATGGGGGTGGGGGATGGGACTTGGGGTCAGAAGAACTTTTTTCTGGTCCCAAAGCTGTCATTTCTAACAGTGAGACCCTGAGCAAATGCCTTCCCTTTCTTTATACCATCTTCTTTATCTTTAAATGAAGTTGATAACAACCAACTTTGCCAACTTGTCCTGAGGGCTAGATGAAGCAATGAAGGTGGAAACATTCTGTAAACTGTGAAGTGCTCTCCAATTCAAGATTTTTCACATAGAACTTATTTCAGAGGTAGAGATATCAACTAAAGAAGAACAAAGGGTTGGAAGTTCACCCACTCAGAGACAGTTTTTGTTGAGAAAACTATGCAAACCCTCGTTTTGAATGAGAGTAAAAGCCCGTGACTCGAAAAGGAAGGGGTGCTGTATGGCTGGTGAAGTGTCCTGTTAACATGTGTCTCACATCATGTAGACTCAGCTCAGGGGCCAGTGCTTGTGTTCCTCGTGTAGCAGTTTGGGGACAATGGAAGGAGAAGCCAATGAGAAGGAGAAAAGGTGAACTTGCTAAATGAAACTGGGAGAAATACAAATGTGGTCCCCCGTGAGTTTAGAAAAACACTCTCAGAGCTTTCTTAAGATGGCCTCTTAAAGCAAACCCAGCCCAGGGATTCAATGGAAAGAGATGGTCACAGAAATGTGGCCTCATCAGGTCTACAACCCAGATTTCGGTGACACTGTTTTTTACTTACTGCTCTTCAGTGCCCAGCAGCACCGTATAAATGACACTCAACTCTTCTGCATCTCTCACTCCCTTTCACTTTCCATGCTGTAAGATATAGAGCAAACCTCTGGGAAAAAATCAAAATTACTTTGGGGACAAATTGGTTTATCTCTAGGATACAGCTATTACCAAAAAAAAAAAAAACAAAAACTGACCAATCCATTGATACATTCTTTTGTTACTTTTATCCATGTTTTATAATTTGAGTAAAAAAAATTTTTCCCTATGTTTGGAAAGTGGATATGGCTTATTGTCAAGCTTTGATGGTTTAAATGAAATACACACCATTTAAAGGGAATATATTTTAGTAAACAACTTTTGCCTCATTAGTCTTTGAATTCCCTGGAACTTTGTCTGTGTTGTAAGGGTATCATTTTATTTGTATTTGAAAAGGCATTAACAAATTGAACAGAAAAGTTCATTCATATGGAAAATGTGCTCCCTTATTAGATTTTGGGGAATTCTTCAATATGACAGTGAGCGAATCTATGTGACATTCTTCACGTGTGAAGGAAAAATGGATGCTATCTTCTCTGCAAAACTTCATCTTCTTCATACACTGTGCTTTTTAACTATTTAACATACACCATTTGTTTTGCTTGTTTTGGGAATCAAAGCACAGTCTTCCAAATTCTATAATAAAGGTGACTTACCCATGTTCCTTCTAGTCCAATGAGTTTATACAGAGATGAGTGTTGATTATGTGTAATAGTGGAGTAGATTTTATTTTTATCTTTTTATTGTAAAATATATGTAATAAAATCTAAATAATGAAATAAATAATAAAATATATGTGATATAAAATTTGCCATTCTATTTCTACAAAAAATTGACTTTGGTTAGCATGTTTCTCCTTCAAAACCATGTTTTTCTTCTTTTCCAAAGCTGCTGGAACATGACAGAATAAAGATTTGATTTTGATTTTTCTTTTTCTGAATCTGATAGAAGTAACTGATTGTGTGGGGGTGAAAAATGGAAACCAAAGAGTTTGGGACAGAAGCTACAGGCCTGACTTAGCTAAGGGCCAGCTCCAGAATCAATAAGCAAATATATGTCCAGTATGTTAAATACAAAAAAATACATATACACATTAGACATAGTCCTAATCTCAAAAAGATGTTTATGTAGGTGAAGAACCATAATAAATGCACGTGAAAAAATTATAATAGAAGAAAGTAAGTACACATGTATAGGGTGGCAAAGAGCATAGGTCTGTGGAAATCAAGGAAGGGAGAGAATAATGAAATGATGTGGGGTAAGTTCTAGAGAGATGGTTCAAAGCCAAGCCTGGCAGAGTCTCTAGGCTTTAAGTAGACCTCAGAGGGCTTGTTAAGCAGGAGGAAGAGCATGGTCAAGGGTGCAGGCAGGGGAATATATAAGTATTTTTAGAGGATCTTGATTTATTTCCGAATTATGGTCTACTGTTTCCTTCATAATCCTCAGGAGAACTTTTCCCCTATGAGTTAGAGGTGAAGAAAATCCATCTTTCCTATCACTTCCGGTGAATATGCCCCATGCAGTGGATAGCATTCCATCCTGGGTAATCCATGGTTCAGAGTCATCATGCAGTCTGCAGTCTTTGCTTCCCTTCTTCCCATGTAAGAATGTGGGTCCCTCCTAGTCAAGTAATGAGTTGTTCTTTGGTTTTCATCACAGAATATCTATTCTGCATGCAAAGTGCTCACACTAGTAGCAACAATATCCTAAATAGCATGACATGCTAAAAAAAAAAAAAAAAAGTAGTAGCAGCAACAGAACAAAAACAAAGCAGAAAGATATTAGCATGGCTGAGTCAGTAATGTCAGGAGGATTCAAGTTTGCACACTTCTAACTGGTTCCAGGAATGAGTTTTTGCTGAACCATCTATTCTGGGTTGTCCAGTACTTCTTTGAAACACTGATTCCCATTTGTGAATGAGTTAGTTTTCTGCGATAATAAATAAAGTGAGTGGTTTAGCCTATCTTTATCTGTGAAAAACTAACTGGACAAATAAAAACAAAATATTTAACCGTATTCTCATCAGCTCCATGGCCTAATTAAGTTGAAATTACAGGTCCTTGTACAGAAATCACTTAGGTTCCTTTAAAAGCATAGACCAGAGATTGAAGAGATGAAATAATTCTGAACAGGCACTAATGATCTTATCATTACTCAAATTATAAAACATTTGGTAGTATTACTGGGTCATAGATCTTCATATCTGCACAAGAGGCCACCTGGTTTAGTGAAAATTATTCAAGCATTAGAGACATCAGCCAGGATTGAAAACTGTTACCTTCTGGTTTTTATGACAAATTACTTAGATGCTTCTGATCCTTAGTTTTCTTGTCTGTAATAAGAGGTTAATAATAGAACCTACTTCATGGGGTTGTAGTGAGGATGAAATTATATATAAAGTCCAAGTTAGCACTTAGTAACTAACAGCTATTACTAATTATTTTTTTCTCATAGTAATTAAGAAACACCACCTTAAAAGTCATTCCCTTTGTGCGTTTCATAGCAAGAGAAGCTGATGCATGAATTGGAAGAGGAGAGACACTTACGTCTTCAGAGTGAGAAGCGGTTGCAGGAGGTGACACTGGAGTCTGAGTCCAACAGAATTCAGATGCGTGGCCTCCAACAGCAGTTCTCCAGGTATTGTTCTGAACTGAGTTTCTTGCTTCAGGAGGGGCATCTCTTCCTGCACCAGTAGCCCCTGTGCTTGAATTTCCATTGTGAAAGCTTCTCTTGAATTTGAGGAGCTAATTTACCTATAGCTTAGACCTTCTCCTCTGGCCACGCCATCATATGGCATTTGGGCCAATTTGTTGAAACTTGCTATTTGCACCTCGCATAGTCTTGGCTTTATTGGATCTGGTTGTCTTTTCTTCCCTGATGGCTTTCCAAGGGATTTTTCCAGGAAGATGTGGTGGCTGTGTGGCCTATAGGGATGTCCGGTGAAAGGCCAGCCAGGAGGATGAAATTTTACCGGGCATCATAATTCTATTTTAAGGAAGACAGAGAATGTGAATCTAATCATTCAGTAAGCTCTTACTCAGTACTTAAAGGAAATATTTACCAATAGTAAAAAAAATCAAAATCAATGAGTTTCTTTCCTTTAAAAAGACCAAACTTGAATTTGAAAGGAGCATTCTGAAAAGTAGCTCTTAGATTTAATTCCCACACAGAATCTTTCAGCTTCCAGTTACAGTTACTGTGGGGCCAGGTGAAGGTTCAGCCTATTATTTAAAATCTATTTAGTTCCCTGGAGAAAAACCCCACAAACTTGTGCTATTCCAGTCCTGGGACCAGATAATGGGAACTCTGGGAAGGACGATTTACTTTCATTTCTGTATCTCACTTCACCATTTGAAAAATCAGGAAATTAATTTCTGGGTTCTTTGTTTTTTTTCTCCCTCCTGAGGCTGTCCCAGGCTAAATCAAGTTTGAGAAGTTGCCCTAAAATTTTTCTGAGCAGTCTATGTGGATCTTGCCTTTAATTTACCAATGGGATTTGGATGTGATCAGTGATGGATAATATGGCTTCCTCATTATGAAACTTTTATAATGATAGCTTAAGTTTTGGGTGTGTCACAGGGAGAAACCAAAGTTGAGCCTCCAGATGATTTATCTCATTGTGACTAATACCGTGAATGCTTGTGACTTTGGTTTAGAGTCTTCTTGGAGGAACAGGGTAGAAAGGATGGATGACCCCCCTGCATTCAGAGTCATAATTTAACACCCTATTCCACTCTCTGAGCCCCTGATAAATACACAGGTGCTGTAGAAATGCACCAGTCAATACTTAAACAAATGCATGTCCCACCCCTCCCAGGCTATTACTTATACAACCTTGTGCTCGATTTTTCATTTGTTTTGATGGTAACTCTCACTTTATGTCTCCCAACTTGAAAGAATAGACCTCCCCCACCACTTTTGAAGCAGCTCTAAAACAAACACTGCTTTGTAATACTTGCCCTTTTAATGATACAGGAAAGGAGGAGGTAGATCGCCCTACCCTTTTGCTATCTAATTGAGACGTCTCTGTATTCAAGCTATTGATTTACCAGGTGTGAGACACATGGCACAGTAAATTATTTTTGTATGATGCCAGGTCATCTGCTATAAATCAAATGACACCCATACAGAGTTGAGTTGCATAAGAGCCAAGGATACATCCTAGACTGAAAGAGAAGATAATTATATGTAGAACAAATAGTGGTTGGTTTTACATACTGCATTTCCCCTGCTATAATGAGTTTCCTTATGTAAAGCTTCATTGGAACTGAAGAATTCGAGTCCGGTTATAGCCAGACAGCTAATGTAAATCAGCAAAGGTGGAAGAAAAAGTATATATCACAGATAAGGTAATTACACAAAGGGAGAGAGGGAAATAAACCATTAGAGTCTCTTAATGATAGAGAACAAACTGAGAGTTGATGGAGGGAGGTGGGCGGGAGAGGGGTAGATGGGTGATGGGGATTAAGGAGGGCATTTTTTGTGATGAGCACTTGGTGTTATATGTAAGTGATGAATTACTGAATTCTACCCCAAAACCAATATTGCACTGTATGTTAACTAAGTGAAATTTAAATAAAAAATCAAAAAAACAAAAAAAACAAAAAAAACACATGAGCAAGGGGGGAAAAAAGAGAGAGAGAGAGGCAAACCAAGAAACAGACTCTTAACTCTAGAGAACAAACTGCTGGTTACCAGAGGGGTGGTGGGTGGGGGATGGGTGAAATAGGGGATGGGAATAAGGAGCGCACTTGTGATGAGCACAGGGTGATGTATGGAAGTGTGGAATCACTGTCTTGTACACCTGCAACTAATATTACACTGGCTGCTAACTATACTAGAATTTAAATAAAAACTTTTAAAAAGATAATTATACAATAATTTAAGTAGGCCCGCTACAGCATTTTTGATGGCTTTTGGCATTTTAAACTTTGGTTTGTAAGATACTTCTAGTTCTGTTTATTTAAACAATCCTGTTACTATAATTTAAGTCTTTGTAAAATTCTCCATATTATAGAACATGTGTATAGCTCATCAGCCTTAGACATGGTCCACGTCTAAATACTCACATAAATAATTTCCATATTCCAAATAATTATATTGAATTTAAAACTTTTATATTCATAATTTTCTCCTTTTCCCTGGGTCAACAAGTTTGTTTTGTGCATGATGCTCCCTGAGATGTAGGCTTACTTTGAATATTGTTTATAGGACGAGTTTACTTTGAAAAATAATGCTAGTAACCCACTTTTTCAAAGTTTGTGAAGTGGCTTACAATAGAAGGTAGCTTTACAATATGACTAATAAAATGAAAATAGAAAATAAAAGCCACAAAAGGGTAGTGTGGCAAGTAATCGTACTTACATGGCCTGCCATGTTTTCTGAGATTGAGCGTTTGACTTAGTTCTAAGATTTCCTGGCAGACATGATTAAAAGGAAAGTACAAGGGCGCCTGGGTGGCTCAGTTGGTTAAGCGACTGCCTTCGGCTCAGGTCATGATCCTGGAGTCCCGGGATCGAGTCCCGCGTCGGGCTCCCTGCTCAGCAGGGAGTCTGCTTCTCCCTCTAACCCTCCCTCCTCTCATGTGCTCTCTCTCTCTCTCATTCTCTCTCTCAAATAAATAAATAAAATCTTTAAAAAAAAAAAAAGGAAAGTACAAGAGCCTATGTAATTGTTATCTTCTCGACAAAGGCTACTACCACTCAGGGAGAGAAACATTGTCTCTGGTAACAAACTCATACTAGAACACATCCATAAGCCCCTTCAGAGATGGCACTGGAGGATATAATAGACAATAGTCCAAAATTGTGCAGATTAGGATTAATTCACAGAAGTATTGCTACTTCTGCAAGGTCATTTACGTCTACCAAGTTAAGGGACTTCTGAATGTCACAGTACATGAAATAGGAATGCTGGTTTCATGTCTAAATGATAATGAGTAAGTAGAACTCTAGTGCTTACAGATCTCAAGTCAGGCACTATACTGCAAGTTCATGGGAACCTCTAGAAAGACACATGTTGCATCTTTCTGATATCTGTTTGGAACCTGGAGCACAGAGACATGAGATGCTGAGGTGTGGGCGGAGCTGCGAGAAGTATTTTCCTGGTGTAGTTGATGGCATTGTCACCATACAGGCATCTAAACGGTAGGGAAGGAGATTCTGGAGTCTCAGATTCGGGATGGGATGAGGCTTTGGAGGGGAAAGTGGATAACGATGTTAGAAGCCGGGACAATCAGTTATACGTGTGAGGTAGAGTTCAGGTGTCAGAATGAGTGCTGCAGGGTATTTAGTCCAAGGCTTGATTTTATGCACTCTCAGTGAGGTGATACGCCTGGTGGCTTAAAGGCACCAGGCAAACCTGAACATTGTGATTATCTGTGGTGATGAGTAATGGGATCACTTAGGTGATAAAAATCTATAAAAACGTTTGAATGAGTAGTTCTCTTTTATGTCACCACCAAACCTTCATTTATAATCCCCCCTTCCTCTTGACCTCTGATTAGGGTGTAATGATCAGCAGTGGTCCAAAATATGGACAATAAAAAGAGAGAGAGAGAGAGAGAGATGTGACCAGAGATTACATAATCAGCTGTAAGGTCATAAATCAGAAACGGCCTGCACTGAGGGTGATTCAGGCAGCCATAATAAGCTTGATTCAGACCATTTACAACCTTTCATCTAAATATAGAGAAGAGAAAAGGTACTTCCAAATTAAGCCTTCCCATACATGAAGGAGCATTTCAATAGGGTGGTACTGAGAGTCAGGCAGCAGTGTCATTAGGGCTTCTTTGTCTTGATATTTGGTAATATAAATCGAAGATGCTTTCCAGATGTCATAATGATTGTTTAACCTGTTGTCTGAGTGGTATACATGGCTGGGCATATTTTATGTGGTTATAGCTTTGTGTGCCCCATCCTTCTATGATTCTGTAACTGTCTCTACCCTCCCTTTAACTGTTCATTTGAACTGTGCATGTCTCGCCAGCCAAGGTTAACAATGTGAGTATGGCTATATCACTGCCTTCCCTCCTATGTAAAGATTAGTGTTGGCACCCCCAACGTCATTACCTTGAGTGAATGAGTTTGTTTGTGCATCAGTTAGTTTCACCTAGTCAAGCATTTCAGGAACACTCTCTCCAACCAGGTGGGCTCTGTTGAGGTAGAATAACTGATTAAGAAGAGGGGCACCTGGGTGGCTCAGTTGGTTGAGCATCTGCCTTCAGCTTAGGTCATGATCTCAGGGGCCTGGGATCAAGTCCTTCATCGGGCTCCCTGCTCAGCAGGGGGCCTGCTTCTCCCTCTGCCTGCCACTCCCTCGTGCTTGTGCTTTCAACTCTCTCTCTCTGTCAAATAAATAAAATCTTAAAAAAAACAATAAATAAGAAGAACCAGATTTGTGAAGAAATAAGCAATACATGACTGCTGATTTATTGCAAACCATGTACGAGTTGCACCTATATTTGAGTTGGTTCCTTTGGAAACAATGCTGTCAACGCATAGATTATTGCCAAAAGCTGCTGTTCTTACCAGACAAGCAAACATTTTTATTGTGGGTACAGTAAGATAGAACACAGTATGTGTCAAAAAATGTAGACCCCAGATAGAGAAGACTTATGTGCATATATGAACCAAAAA